TAAACAGTAAAAAAATGTAATTTAAGTATTAAAATTATTAAAATAATAATAATAAATAAATATAAAATAATATTATTTAAAATATTTAAGTGATTTTGAAATGAAAAAAAAAAGGGTGCAATTATTAAAAACACATTTTTGTTAGAGAGAGAAAGAAGGGAAAGTCCTTCCCATATATGGAAAACAAAACACTGCTCACTCTCCTCTTGTTTTACCAGTGTCTTCGCATCTCCAGGAGCTGAAAAGTAAGCTTCTTTTTCTTTTTCCTTTCGTTTAGAAAATCTTTGTTATTTTGTAGATCTCTCTGGGTTATATACGGTTCATGGGTTTTAACTTCTTTATGCAAATTGAGCCTGAATTACCTGTTTCACTTATTTCATAGACTGTCAGATCAGTTACAGAAGAATGCATGTCTACTTCCATGGGTTTTGGTTTCTTGATGTTGTATGTTGGTTTTACATTTGTAGGGACTTAAGATTTTATAAGAATTTTCAAAGTTAAATTCTTGGACAGAAATGGGGGGGAGACTTGTAAGGTTTTTTAGGGATGGGTTTGAAATTGTAATTAATCTGATGGAGACTGAGAAGCTGATTTCAGAGAATTTTTGGTATTGAAACTTATGTCATAATTTTTAATTGGGAGAACTCATACATAAATGGGGCAGCATTTCCTCGCTTTTTTTTTACATTATACTCAGTTCATCTTCTCTATTGTAGTATGGTAAGTAATCTAGCAGTTGTTTTTCACTGTTATTTTAGGGGTTTGCTGTTGTTATTTTATAATGGAAGAAAGGGGGGGACCGCATCGGGGTTATACCCTGTCCACATGATGCTTCTGGGACATACTATTTTATGACCTAACAACATGAAAATGCACAATAAAAATGTGAAGTTTTGCATGAAGAGGATAATAGTTATGAAATATTAGCATATTAATTTTTGTACCTATTGAGACATCCACCCTCAATCTTCCCAAGCACCTTTTAATGTCTTTCTTCATTGTTCTTAAGGAAATGAAAGCCTACTAGGAAAGATTTTGTGAATCAAGTGAAGAGAGAGAGAGAGAGAGCGCGCAATGTTTCAAAAGGCACTAGGTGTTGCTAGGCACTCTAGGCATTTTTATTTTTCTGCAAAAAATGCCAAAATAAAATAGAAAAATCTAAAAAATGGAAGAAAGACCTAGCTCCACCACATAAAGGCTAGGTGCGCGTTTTGCAACATTGAGAGAGATAAAGAGAGAGAGAGCACTTGATGTTAAGTCAAATAATTGAGTAATTGATCTTTTCACATGTTGAAGCTGTAGAGATATGGTGTGTTTAGGTCAGGAAGCTGTCTTGAGGGCAGAACATTAGAAGTGGAGATGGTGTTAGAATCCTCCTCTAGTGACATGTCGCAGATATACTCCTCTATTCCATGTGAAAACCTTACGAATAGTTCCCTTTTGTCTGTGTTTCACCCTCCCCTAAGTCCTATTTGAGCCCTGAATTTGATTTAAGGCCTTTGCTGCTATAGGGTTATATGCTTCAAATTTTCCTACCCCTTGAGGTACTCAGCTACTTTATCAGTATGATAATGCAAAAGATCTGTATTTTAAATTTGGCTTCAAGTGAAGTTCTTTTAGCACCAGGGCAAAAACCTTAGTCCTTCAAAATCATCTCTCAGTGATTCCTGAATTTACTTGCTATCTCTTTTAGTCCTTTCCTTCTTATTACTCATTTTCTTACTCTTGTTGTGAAGGTATTTCATTGTGGAAGGAAGTGCTGGTGACACTTACCTCCAGTCTGCCATTGCATCCACTTTGTGACATGCAGTTAAATTTAAATGGAATGACAAGATTTTCTAGTAGTAGCACATTATATTAGTTTTACATGGCTGGCCTCTTCTATAATTGGAAACATAGTAATTTATTTATGTTGTCTATAAGTTAACAATTTTATGTTGCTTATCAGTTACTTCCAATTGTTAAACCAATATGAATGGAAGTACTGCTAAGTGCTAACTGGTAAGGAGATTCAGCTTTCAATCTTGGTTTAACTTTGTAATACAATAACTAGTCTCTTGATGTCATCAGGTTGCTAAGTCTTTCAACTTCATGGGTAAATCATCAAGCCTACATTTGATGTTTGATTGATAGTTTTTCAGAACAAGTTGCTGAAAATTGGACCCCTTTTCCACATACTTAGATAAAATATATGATATCTAGGAGACAATGATGAAATATTAGGGCAAAATTTCCAGAAACAGGTTTGATTTATTCCCTTCATAAAACATATTTCATGAAGCTAGTGAGGTTATTGATAGGCTTTTCGATGAGAGCCTTTATGAACATGGACTATTTATTTCACGGCATGCTGGAAATTTTGATAAGTACTACATAATTTGCCAAACTACCCTAGACTTTTTGACCATAGACCAAGTTCCTTTTTTGTGCATGTCTTCATCATCTTTAGCTTTTTTGTTCCTTCATGAAAGTTGTACTGTAAAGTTCTAATTGTTCTTTGTGTTGGTTTGAATTTCTTAGGATGAAGAGAAAAGAAACCTTCAGAAGACATGCAGTGAAGAAATTCAAGACAATTGTAGGGAACACTAAATTGTATTCAACTTGAGCTTTCTGTACAATGGAATCAGTATATATAGTTTACAATACATATTCAGATCCTAAATACTTGCCTAAACTTATGTGTATGACCATTGCCTTATTCCTTAGTGCTCTGAATTGAGTGGTCTCCTGTTCTCTGATATTTGTTTCGCTCCACTTTGTGCTTCTCAGTTTTTGGCAATATTGTCAGTAACTGACAGAAGATGCTCAGGTGACCATATGACCATCCCCTAGATCATGGAGATCTAGAGAAATTGTTAGTTTTGCTGAATATCCTGTCACCCTTTTGAGTTCTGTTAAAGATGAGGCTTCATTTTTCTTGGTGGATGGGCCTGCAGTTGACAACCAGGGTCTGTACTGCTTCCACTAAACCTCATACCACTGTCATAAAGCACTTTTGTATTAGAATATTTTCGTGATTAGCTTGATGAATTTGTTAATACCCAGTTTTGACTAATAGCCATTGAGAGTCATATTCAACAAGATGTAAACAGATCCACTGTGTTATCCTCAGTCATTTTCTGACAAAGACATGCTGGAAAAACTCAAATATGATATCAAACTTTTGAATTTTTTCCACTCTACGCTACAACAATATCCATGATAGCAACTGCAAAATTGGTGTATTCCATTGAATCAAACTCAAGGCTAATGATCAAGGATAGCTACAAGGTTGAGTAGCAATCAGTCTCGGTGTAGCATACGTGCATATTACTGATCTGGAAAACAAAATTATCTATGAGCATTGTCATTGTCTCTCCACTAGTTTTTTTCTCTTCAAAACCCTCATCATAAAAATCATTGCTCTAACCAACAAATGAAGGAAACTTTGGACCTGTGGTCTTGCTCCCCTTCAATTAACAAAATTCAGGAAACAAAAGTAAGAAGGTTGTAGATATAGTATTTGAGTAAATGTGTTAAAGCAAGAATTATGATGTTGATTTGGGGTCTAATGATGTAAAATTTGATGGAAGTTGACTATCATTTTCCACTATAACCCAAAAAGGAAAGATGTAATTATGTCATGCTTAAGGGAGACAAAACCAGCATCTTCCTTCTAATTAAAGTCAATTTGCCATAATCATGTGTGATAATTAAGGGGTAATTTAATTTTCCTTTTTTATGAAAGCACTCTTTGGACATTTAACTTTGGGGTTAAATGCAGTTTGAATTGTGACTAACTCAAGGGATTTAAAGGAAGCTTTGTGTCATATTTCACTAATTATGATGGGATTTACAGGCCCAGCATTTGGTGCAAAAGCCAAAATCAGTTTTTATTATACGTTTAATAGAAAATGTGAAACAAAAGCATGTGCTTATGTTGCTTTTAAATACTAATTGGTCTTTCTTAGTGGAAAACATAAACAGGGGAAGGGTCATTTTGAATAGACCCCTCCAATTTAAGAGCTAAGAAGAACATGGGGTGCTTCATATTCTGTTAATTGAACCTGTAAACATCAAAGCTCCCACTTCTCAGCACCCTCCCAAATGAAATTATTAGGGAATTTAATGACTCAGCACAATGTCTAATCCCATTATCCCGAAAAAGAAGTGATGGTTGATATTTCTTGTCAATTAGTTGTCATCCTTAAAGGAATGAGATTTTTATTTTTTATTTTTTGAAGATAATAAAGGATTGGTAGTGATTTATATTGTGAAACTAGCTAGCAACTCTTGGTTTGTTCAAGGACATAAAGATGATGCCCCCTTTTTTGATATTTCAAACCATCCTTGATTAAGATGCTTGAAGACCATAATTCATATATCCCATCAACAAAAACAGTCTTGTGAATTTGGCTTATCCCTTGTTATTCAACGGTTGATATTAAGTTTACTAATAAAAGAGCATGATAATACAAATCAATAATCTAACTCATCAAGGAATCAACATGAAAATACCAGTTCATAACAATATTATCCAAAAAGACCTAAAAGTCATACTTGGATAATTCAGGAGATTGAAAATTTTGTTAATGAAGTTTTGGGGGTGAAATATAAATGAGGAGGATTTATCTTGTGTATATATATATATATTGAAACAACAAAAATTATTATATAATTCAAACTGTTTCAATCTGTATGATTTTAATTATTAGATGAGAATAAATCTCTTACTATTAAAATTTACTTCTTTCATTTAATAATTTTTATTTTACAATTCAACACACAACAAACTCTTAAAACAATATAATTTTAAAAGTCAGATTATTAAAAATTTTTTTTGAAATAATATAATTTAAAAATATTTAATTATTATTATTAAATTTAACTGATGAACATATTTCTATGTAAATAAAGAAATTGTAAACGATGGTGTAGAATTTTGAAATTTTTGGTAAGCACGTGAGAGGTAGGAAAGGGGGTCGTGCATTCGTGTGGACAGTGATGTTCACCCCTTTCCATCTATGGTGTTGGTAGAAACTAGAAACTTGACACTAGAAAGTACAGCATTTCGTCAATACGTGGCTCAACTTCACCGTCACATTCAATACCAACTTGCATCTCAATAACTGCCACAAATTTTTTTTTTTGGCTAAATACCCAATTTGGTCTCTCAATTTTTATTTTTCAACCAAATTTGTATTTAAACTTCAAATATGACCAAAATCATCCTTAAAATTTGTTTTTCCCTTGCCAAATCAGTCCTTCCATCGACTGAAGTGCCCACGTGACATATTAAGTCACCACAAAATTTTTTTTTTTGAACAGTATTACATGAGGTGGGTTTGAACCCTTCCCGGAGGAAGGGGGAATGCATCTTATGTGGTCAGAGACCACTTGGCCCCAAGGGCCAGATGCAAGTCACCACAAATTTATAGTTTTGAAATTTTAAAAATTATATGGAAAAAATATAATGCACTTCATGATTTGACATTCTTTTTTTAGATTTGATCCACATTTCCAACTTTATTTCCTTAATTTTTTTTACAATAAGATAGTGAAATGTAAGACAAATTACATCATATAAATTATATCATTTAATATATATAGTATTATAAGTCATAAAAAATTAATTATTAAATAATATAAATTTTATTTTATAATATTTTAAATGACAAATAATTTGTATTATATCATTGATCTTAAATTTTGATTACAAAATTTTTTTCCTTTGTTTATCACTATTATTTTTTTTATTTGAAATTCATATCCTTGTAAAACAATTAAACAATTGTAAAACACTAGACAAAGCCAATTAAATACTTAAAACTAATAAAAACAAACATAATTTTAAACAAAAATTTGAAAAACAAAACTCAGGCCAAAATTCAAGCTGGTCCTCTAATGAGAACCTGATTCTTGGTTCTCTAAACAACTTGTTAAGTAGAACTCAACAAGTTAGAATGCAATCAGATAATAAAAATTCATATCTCACCATTATAGAACCCAATTAGTACAAATGTAATCAGAGAAGATCCAACATAGGGGAGCCTGGCTAGTGATGGAAGATTTACATTTCTTTTGTGTAATTGATGTTTTAGTGGCTGTTTAGACCTAAGAATTCATATTTCTTTTGGTATTTTGGTGACCCAAGATTTCTTTTGGTTTTGTTGAAATTTGTTGAATTTAATGAAGTAAATGAGTATGTTTTTGTATTTGTTGATGATGATTGTGCGTGAAAAAGAAGTGCATTTGAAAAGCCTAGATTGAATCTAAGCAATGCTAGCAACGTCGTTGCAGGAATTAGATAAGAGGGAGAAAGAATAGAGGTTGAAGACAAAGGTAGTTTTGTCATTTACTTATTTTTATTTTAATAAATTTGAGTGGATTGAAAAGTCTTAAAAAATTGTCACATCATCAATTGAGTAAAGAGTTACTTCCATGTAAATTAAAGAAATTTAAAAAAGTAAATTCGTGGCAACTTAACGTGCTAAATAGGTACTTTCGTCAATGAAAGGACCAATTCAGAAATGAGAAAATAAACTTAAGGGTGAAGCTGGTAATTTTAAAGTTTAGGGACAAACTCAGTCCAAAATAAAAAATTAAGGGACCAAATTGAGTATTTTACCTTTTTTAGCACATCGGAAAACCTCCAGTCTTGTCCGCCTCCCCGCTCCTTTTTTTTTTTTGACTTTTGGTTGTGAGATGGAAGGCCATTGTCTTTAATTTAATTGTTTACTTTAATTGTATGTTTATAACTTAAAATATAAATTTTTTTATCTTACTTAAAAATTAAAAAAATTGTTATTAAATTACTTAAATTTTTTGCTTAACGAGCTATATTAAATTTACCAATTTTTATTTATTAGGAAAAAAGATTAATCAATCAACACCTCATGATATTATGTTAACAGATAAAAAATATTATAATTATAATATTATATCGTATTATAAATTTAAGATATAATATGTTATTATATAATTAATTTATTTTATTATTATAGATAAATATATATAATTTTATAATTCAAATTATAATAAACTATAAAAATTAAGAGGGATCGTTTTCTATCTTTTAGATTATGTAATATTTTTTTATTATATAATCAATCTTATTACGTAGTAATTAATTTTTTTTAACAGATTTACATTTCAAAAAAAAAGATTCAAATCTCAATTTTTAAATTAAAAAATGCACTTAATACAAAATATATAGTTATCAAATCACGAAAATTTATAAACTACTAGATAATAATTAGTTGGTATAATGGAAATTCATAAAAAGAAAAAAAAATTATACGTACGAAATCGAACAAGACTCCAGAACAAAAAACAAAGACTCTATGATTTTCGTACTAGCAAATGAGCTGGTGACAACGAAATGGGTCGGCGACAACTTATGAAAGGGGTGGAAGCAGATGATTGCAGTCGCAGCAGCCAATGGGAACACGACAGCAGATCATCACAGGGGTGAGGGGGAGGATATTGGACGACTGAGGTGGGGTGCGCAGGAGAGTGCAGCAGCACGAGCCAATTAGAACTTGAGAGGGATGGATGCGAGCTCGATGATTGACAATGGAAGTACGGAGATGAGTAGATGTGACGTGGGATTTACAGTTGGCTGAGGTAGTTGATGGGCCACCCCCTCGCCCCACCGGCACACCGTGAAAACTTGATGCCGGTTACGGTTGGGTACGTAAAATAAAACCAACCACCTTCCGGTAATCATTAAACCGTAACTTCTCCAAATCTTCCCACCCCCCGCGGGGTGGCGGTGAGGGCTTTAGTATTCTGGGGTGCTTGGTTCACAACCTTTGCAAGAAGAAATTTTTGGGAAAATCTAGTAATCAAGTCAAGATTATGAGTTTAAGTATTAAAATACGTGACAAAAAGATATAATACTTAAAGTAATAAGTTATAATGTTTATAATTGATTATAATGTTTGAATAGTATTAACTTCTACTCAAAAACAATGGGGGGATATAGTGTTTTTTGACATTATAATTAATTATTTTGCATGTAA